TTCCATATCCTCTCTGCTACCCGCAGTTCTCTTCGGTTGCTGTGTAATGCAGCTGAAAGCCAAGGAGCAGGGCGATTTTTCCTGGGTTCCATGTATGTGGAAAGTGAGGAGAGGAGAGTATCAGTTGCAGGTTCCAGTGCAAGGGAGGAAAAGGAGTTAAGGTCAGGAAGATAGGACAGGGTGCAGGAAGCAACAGATGAAGGGGAGACAGAGTGGAGGTTTGGTCTAGTGGGCGAGAAATGTTGAAAGCCAGGATTGGGTAAGACAGGAAGAGTGATGGTAAAGGATACTAAGTGGTGATCAGAAATGTGAAGAGGGGTAGTGGTGATGTCGGTGGCTGGAGAGGGGCGGCTGAAAACCAGGTCGAGAACATTACCTCCTTTGTGTGTTGGAGAGCAGTTGTTGGATGTCAGAGAAAAGGAATAGAGAAAAGGGAGGAGACCAGAAGAAAGGAGCTTGTCATGGGGGAGATTGAAGTCACCAAGGAGAATGAGAGAGGAGCTGTCAGTGGGGAAGAGACTGAGGAGAGTATCCAGCTCCTCTAGAAAGTGGCCTAGGGGGCCAGGAGGGCGGTAGACAACAATGATAAGAATATTGAATGGAGAGGAAACTGCAACTCCATGGAATTCAAAGGATGAAATGTTGAGCTGGGGGAGAGAGAGGGGTGTGAAGCACCAGTTCCGAGATAGTAACAGACCTGTGCCACCACCCCTGCCAGTCTGGCGTGGAGAGTGAGAGAAAGCATAAGCAGAGGAGAGAGCAGCTGGTGTAGCCGAGTTCTCTGGGGATATCCAGGTCTCAGTTAGAGCCAGAAAGTCAAAAGAATGGTGGGAAGCAAAGGCGGAAATGAAATCAGCCTTCTTTACAGCATACTGGCAATTCCAGAGGCTGCCCAACACCCGACGTTGGGACTGGGATAACAGGGGAGGGTAGATAAGATTACTGGATGTGCGGCGCCTGGATGTTGGATGGGATCTTCTAGATCTAAGAGATAAGTGGACTGGGATAGGTTTGAGGCACATGTCTGTAGTGATGGTGGGAGTTCGCAAAATTGAGAATAGAATAGAAAAGAAAGGATAGAATGAGTAGTAACAGATTAACTGCGTTTGTCTCTAACCGTGTCTGTGGCGGACTCACCTTCAATATAACTCAGTTAGCCCCACCCCTAATTTACACCTTCAGCGAGACCGAAACTACACCTGATTGACTACCTGAAACTACTGATTAACAGAAACTAGCAGACACTACAACAGTTTCAACTGAGTCCGACAGAAAGTAAACAAAGACAGAGTCCTACCTTACTAGCAGAGAAGAAATCCAAATCAGAGCCTGAAGCACACAGCTTTACCTCACAGAGTCATAAGAAGGAGCCAAAATTTCCAAAATCATGTAATTTTTTATTGTAACATGGCATAACATTACATGAATGATAAGCAGGTCTGCCAAAAACAAACATATTTCAAGTTGGTTATTTTTTTAGGTTTTTCTTTTTTAAAATTTTTATTATCTAAGGGAGCCTCTGCCTTTCTTGCATTTTGATAGAGGCAAATTAGCAATGAAAATAAAACACAACTACAAAATTGTAAATTCTGCTGTTATTTTGTAGTAAAACAAGATAAGAAACTGTAGTAAAACAAGATAAATCATAAACGTAAATTTTCTATATGAAAGAAAATTTTTAATGTTTGTTCGTGTGCATGATTGAGCATGTGCAAGTGATGTGTGTCTGAACTGACTGTGTTTCTGAGTGTTATTTGCTGTTTCAACAGTGTTCCCCATCTTTCCCTGTAAGTGTGTGTGATGTTTTAACAATGTTTTCCTTCTCTACCTGTGAAAGGCATCAGTAAGCAGTTGTGTGTGTTTGTGTTTTCGTATATGACAGTGTATATGTTTGAGCGTGTGCAAGTGATGTTTTGTATGTGTTTGTGTTATGCTATTTAAATTGCATTGCCTGTCTCTCCCTGTGACAAGTTTGTGTGTGTGTGTGTGAGAGAGAGAGAGTTGTGCTGTTTTACAATACTGTCTCTCATAACAGGTATAAACAGAAACCTTTAAAAAGGAAACAGTGTCACAATCAGAAGTTGCATGTGGTTCAATCAAAACATTTGTAATGCTAAGAACTAAATATGTAGACAACCCCAAAAAACATCAGACTGCCTACTTACCAAGGAAACAGTCCATGTTTCTCACACAACAGTTCACTCCATTAGCTTACTTTTGAGGCTGTGGACTTTCTTGAGCAGTTTTGCTCCATCAAGTTCCAAAAACAGTTTCTGGAATACTTCAAACGTGTACTTGAGATTCCTGGGATACTCAAGGTTGAGGGCATAGATCAAGCCCATTAACAGCATACACGCCTTGGTTCTGTTTCCACATCCATTCAGCACTTGGATTCCCTCTATCATAATAGACACATTTACTGGATCCTCCTCAGCTGTGGAATTATGGATCATGAGCACCTTCATAGTGTGGTTCGTGGAGTCCTCAGGTTCATCCTCCATGTTAGAAAATAAACAAAAAAAATCATTTTTAATAATTTTTAGATTAAAATAAGCATATTAATATGCTGTTTAGAACAGAAATAGAAGAAATGCCTAAGAGCCACCACTAAAACACCTGCCTTCTCGAATAAACCATTCTTTTTTTTCCATGATTAATGTTTGTATCTTTCATGTGCTGCTTGCAAGTAATGTAGGTCAAACAAAACAATATCAAACATAATCTTCACAATGTCATCCCATATTTTTACTAAAATGTATTCAATTGTTACACTAACCAAATGATTCTACAGCGTGCATGATAACTTGTTGGCCTTTTAAAGTTCTGTCAATGTTCCTTTAAAAAAATGTAAAAAAAACTGGGCCATGCCATATACCCCCAACACACACACACACACACACACACACGGTTAAACTATGGTCACAAGATCTACAGAGAACAGAGACAACGGCCGTTGCACTGCCAACTTGTTGGAATAAAAATAGTTGAGAAGCATATTTTATACAAATACTGAACAATGTGAAATGGACAACAAGCCCCAAATTTCATTTAACAAAATCATTTTACAGCCTACCTGGCAAGTTTGGAAGAGCTCTTCTTGGTGTTCTCCAAGGTACTCAATGAGACAACGGACAACAGCATCCCTTTTTCTCTCAACACTCAGTGACTGCAAGGAGGCAAGTTATAAGACACTGATCCACTTGAAAATTATCACTACAGGACAAAAAAGTCATTATAGGCTAGTGACATGCAGCCCTGAGAAGCCAACCTGCCATAACATTTTAATTATTGAAAAAATTAAACAAAAATCTACCTCATTTACAGGGCTTAAAAGAAGACGCATTTGGGTACCAGCAGCTCTACCTTTGGAACGCATTAGCTGCAGAAGACGTGGTGTGTACCAATCAAGTTTCCGCATAAAAGTCTCTTCCAGGGCTACTGTTGTAATGCGCCGAAACTCGTCTTTAATCTAGACAATGAGTAAAGGGACAGCAAGAAAACAACTTTTTCAATTAAGGGCACCAATTCTAAAAGGGCTGACAAGAGGTATTAATTGAATAAAATAAACAGTCTTACTTGAGTCTCACTGAATAATGCCGGCCATCTCTCTTTAAAGGCACCAACAGCTGGGCTCACGGTTGTAGGATCACGCAGGCCCCACAGCCAGTATTTTATGGCCACTGAGGGAGTGAGTCGACCATGCCAAGATCTCCCTCCGTACCTCTTTGACCCAGGGCCCCTCTCCAGGAAGCCGAAGCCCGCATTCCAATGTTTATGGCCCTCAAACGGAGGACCCAGATAGTGGAAAGGGGGGGGAGATCCTGCATCTCTCTGGAGTGGGACAAAGCTAAAATCATATGCCATCTATTGTGTATTTGATTGTGTGTTATCCTCACTATTAGTTGGCATCATTACTGTAAACTTGGTGGATGTGTATGTGTCAGTCACCATTGTCTTCTATTCCTCTTATGAATGTCCCATTGTATCTTCACCACTTGGACAATTATATACATATATATATATATATATATATATACATATATATATATATATTAATATGCACAGATA